CCTAATCCCGACAATTTGTGGGCTAAAACCCCCGTTGGCCTGATGCTAATCCCGACAAACATGGCGAATTTTGTACCAATAGGGACGTTTTGTTCGCAATATGTAAATATTGTTGGTGCAATACGATTAGTCAGCTGGAGCAGTCCAGTTGGAGCAACGGAACGTTAGGAAGTACTCTCGACATGCATAGGCGCCCCCGCGCAGAGCCTGCAACCGCCCGATATATGCCGAAAAAGTATGTGGAGCGGTTTGGAGAGTGTGTGGCACTCACCCACTCAATACTGAAATAACCCCCTTGTGATCCAGTCCAAATTGCGTTTCAAAACGTCTCTAATGCCTGATCCAAAGTCCGGACCCCCCAAACCGACGCCCAGCAAGGCCTGATCCATGATTCCCCCCTAACGAAACCGACGCACCTCGATGCCTGATACCTACCTCCAACCGGTCGATATAGGAGCTTATGCCCCTTCAGGCAGGCCTGTTCCTTGGAATCCGGACCAGAAGGGTATGACAGACCTGAGGTGTAACCCGGACATTCAGCAGGTGACGACCGGGATGCCTGCGCTAATCCCGACAAAACCGGCGCACCCTGATGCATGATATCCCACACACAAACAACGACATTTCACGGGGGTTTGGATCAGGCATTTGGGTGTACTGCCGGGGGTCCTCGTTGCGCACGTCCTCCAGCGTCGCGTCCCCGGGATCACTGATGGTGATGCATAAACCAGTGCTCTCAACGGGGTGATCCTGTTGTTGTCTGCCATCGGTTACCTTTCTATCCCGGGGGTGCAGCACACATATTAAAGCCCGCCGTCATCCCCGCCCCCCTCGTCTTGTCCCGGCGACGACCATCTTCTCAACTTCGCTATAATTTGGCTGGACCTTTTGCTTTCTCACCACCTCTATTTCTTCTCTGCTCTTCTACTTACTCTTTGCCTTCTTTCACTTCTACGATGCCTGCCCTCTCAAGCAAATTTCAGAACCGTCCGATGAACAACCGCGCTGCGGCAGACTACCTCGCGTATGGTCCTCGCAGCTTCTCCCCCGCGCTACAGAACCTCGACCCCGAGCAGCGCCTCAGACTGGCAAAGTCCAGCCAGAAAATTGGCAAGATGTTGGGCCAAATGCCTACAATCGACGTCATGCCTGCCTCCCCGGGCGCGTATAGCATCGCGTCCACGACCCTGAGCTCCGAGCCGGTGCAGCCTCTTACTATCCGGAAGAAGGGTGGCAAGTCGAAGCGCAAGGGCCCGCCTCCCCCCGCGCCCATCCTGCGCTACAGGCTTCCGCCTGTCAATACATGGAACATACTTGTGGAGGAGGTGTCGGAGGCAGACCTGGCGCCGCCTCGGAGGCCTATTCCTGCTGCTCTCGACTTGGCGTCTCCGGCAGGAACCCTGCTTGCGGACAACCGTCAATATGTCTTCCCCTACGCCTACATGAAGTAAGTTAGAATCATTGAGGAGTTTCACCGTCGCTAACATGAGCAGAACTCCCCTCACGCCCGAATACCTGAGCCCCCTTACTCCGCTCTCCCCGCTCTCCCCCATCAAGACCCCAGACATCCACGAACACCGGATGCAGACCCTGCGCAGGCTTGCCCGCATGTCCCGCGCCTTCCGCAACACGGTCATAGATGAACTCGCCCTGCCGTCCGTAAACGTCGTCGCAACGCCCGAAGGTCTTAACGTCAAAACATACCTCGACCTGTACCGGATGTCCGTCTGTCCCCGTCCTCGGTCGCAGATGCCATCCGCAGGCCGGCGCCGCAGCCGCTCCGTCGGCGGCGAGGTGAAGCGGTTAACCGTGCTCTCTGTATACAGCGCGAGCTCGCGCACGAGCTTCATCATCCCCTCACCCAATCCCGGGGCTCGCGGAGACCGCCAGTCGCACATCATCGCGCTCGGCTTCCCCGCCCCCGCCACCCCGTCCCCCGCCCAGTTCGCGCACCCACTCCCCCGCACACCGCTGATCATGCTCGACACGCCACCGGTCCCCGCGCGCCTGCGCGACGACTCGCCCCTGCAGCAGCAGCAGTCCGTCGCGCAGGCGAAGGCCGTCATCCTCGGCGCGGACGCGCAGTTCATGGAGTCCTTCCGGCGCGGGTTCCAGATCCGCACGCGTCGCCGCCAGAGCGGGAAGCAGCTCCCGACGACGCCGACGACGCCGCGCACCGCGGGGGCGCCGAAGTCGCCGAAGGTGCCGTACTGGGTGCGCAGCGCGAGTCGCGGGCATGTGTCGGCAGGCGGAAGTAGGAGGCGCAGGGTCGCTGCGTCCCGCCCGCCGCCGACGCCGCGCACGATGCGCAAGGAGCGCAGACAGGGCTGGGGTGGAGAGTGGAGGAAGATGGGCGGGGTTGTTGAGAAGCTGAAGGAGATGGAGGCCGCTGCGAAAGCCAAGGCTGATTTGGAGGCTAAAAATGAGGCCGATGCGAAAGCTCAGGCTGATTTGGAGGTCAAAGATGAGGGTGAGGCGGAGCGTAAGGCTGAAAAGCCTGACACTGTGGACAAGATCGAGGAACCAACCGTGGGGCCTGCTGCTGTGGACAAAGCCGAGGAGCGTGTCGTGGTGTCTGACTCGCTCGCTGATGTTGCAGACAGCGAGGATGAATCGCTTCTCGCGTACTTGCAGGAGACGGATGTGTACTCGGGAATTGTTGTAGAGGCGGTTGTTGTAGAGGCGTACGCCTTGTAGGCTGATCGATATCCAGGTTTTGTTGTACTTCATCCCGGACTGTTATACTTGGCGGTCGTCCACTCTTTTACTTACTCCCCATCCAGGAGGGCTCACAATTTAAACATACATGTACGATGGTAAAATCTATCATGGACGTCGGTAGTCCCCTGGGCTCAGATTCAGATCTACGTATGAGCACCACACGGCATATTTGAGCACTCACGAAAAATATCAGAGCCGCTAGAACATTGTGGTAGAAACTCATACTTGGATGTTTACATACAAGTACTGCGCGCGAAAAGCTTGAGAACCGAGCCATCGGAGCGCCGGAGCGCTCTCCGTTCCTTTCGTACTCTTTCAAAGGAGCTATACATTGAATGGCTTACCTCAAGCATGTGCATGGAATTTTGGACTCTCAGTGAAGCTACATGTGTCCACGGAGCTCTCAGGCCGTGCTAAGCTGCATGCCAATGCGCGCAAATCAGTGCACAGAGTTGCCGCGCTCGACGTCCGCGGCGCTCGGGATGACTCGCATAAGCACCAGCCACCGTCAAACCTCGAGGTACTTAATTACCACCATCGCCCATCCCTCCCCCAACGCTCTCCGTGTCCCCGCCTGAAGCTGCAACATGAGTGCACCAGCACCCGGCATCCGTCCGTTGTCCAGCGCGGAGGGCTTCCTATGCGGCGGGTTGGCAGCATGCGTCGCCGTAAGTCCTCGTGTCGTGCATGCGGACGCAGCTTGAACAGGCCATGACACGGTATAGGTGACCGTGTCGAACCCCGCGGAGGTGGCGAAGACGCGCATGCAGCTGCAAGGCGAGCTCGCGAAGCAGGGCGGGACGAAGGTGTACAAGAACGCACTGGACGTCATCGCGAAGACATGGCGGAACGAGGGCATCAGAGGCGTGCAGAGAGGCCTGGGTCCCGCGGTGAGTTCTTTGCGCGGTATGCCATGGCGTCGCTCTGACTCCTGTTTCCGTTGGGTTTAGTATGTGTATCAAGTGAGTCGAATTCGCGCACTTCTAGAGCCACGCGGGTCTCATGCATCCAGATTCTGATGAACGGGTCGCGGCTGGGTACGTCATCATCAATGGACGCCGGACCACGCTCTCACCGTGAACCTCAGGTTTCTACGAACCCATACGAAGACAAAGCAACAAGCTCATTGGGGCTGATGCGACGGACCAAATCCCCCTGACCTCCATCTTCTCCGGTGCTGCGAGCGGGATCATCGGAGGTACCGTTCGTTTACCATGCATGAAGTATTGGTCCTGAATGCCGTGTGCAGCCAGCTTCGGGAACCCGTTCTTTCTCATTAAGGCCCGGATGCAGGTGAGGCGGACTGTGTAGCCCCCAAGCGACCGTGCTCACAGTTCTGACCATACATAGGCCTATTCCCCAGTACTACCGGTCGGCGCGCAGCATTATTACAAGAACTCCTTCGACGCGTTCAGGAACGTATGGCACGCTGAGAAGCTCCGCGGGCTGGTGAGGGGCATAGACGCGGCAGCACTGCGGACAGCTATGGGCTCCTCCGTGAGTTCTGCCATCCAGTTCGTTCGCATTCTTGGTCTGACCCCAGAATCTTCCTTAGGTGCAACTGCCCACGTACAACTGGACTAAGAACCAGCTCATCAGTCGCGGGATCAGCCGCGGAGACAGCATCTGGACGTTCCTGGCGAGCAGTACAGTGTCTGGCCTCTGTGTGGTACGTTTCGCCTTCCTTGACCCGCTATCCTCCTACTAATTCCTTGTGACAGTTGACGATGATGCAACCGACGGATACGGTACTCACGCGAATGTATAATCAACCTACGATACGCACCCCCGACGGGAAACACGTAGGGACACTCTACAAGAACCCTATAGACTGTCTGTGGAAAACGCTCAAGGCGGAGGGTCCTTTGGGATGGTACAAGGGTACGGCAGTGCATGCGGACCGTCGACTTCTCGCGCTAACTGCATGCATCTCTAGGGTCAACGGCACATCTCCTCCGCATAGTTCCACATACGTGAGTTCCTCGGCTTCCTTGCAGACTAGCATTATTGGTCCTGACAGGGACCGGCCGGTATAGCATCGTCACCCTTACTGCGAACGACATCATCGTAGGACTTTACAAGCGTGTTCGGGATGGACATGTACTGGAATGACCGGCGTGGCTTACGATTATAGAGCTTACACAGAACTGTACATGTCTAGTCGTAATCATACACAAGCTTATACTTCTTTCTGCCGTCTCTTGTATGCATACGCGTGTATCCATCGTGTGATATTTATTGATTGTGCGAAAAAATAGGATATCAACGGGGACCAAAACTGAACCCTGCCCGGATCGAACGGACGACCTTGAGGAAGTCCCTTGGGCAGATCGCTCCGCCGACTGGAATCTCACGCGCTACCACTGTGCCAAGGGTTCTTGTGCGTGATTCCCGACGCAATAACATAATATGAGGTCAGCAAACGAGCTTTTTCGCGTCTAAGAAACGTACCACCTCTTCAAGTTACGTTCATCCAGGTGGGTTGGCTCGATCCTCAAGAAAAGCCCCTATCGTACCTACATGAGTTGACGCATTGCCGACGTTGCAGTGGAATGCCGTCTGCAGTGGACGCAGAGGCGCCGCCGGGGCCAGAGAGTCCGCGTTCCACTACACCCCAATTGACACCACCAGATGGTCCAGAAATCCAAGAGGCGGTCGCTCCTCCATTAGACCGCATGGCGCTAGCTACGTTGCTCGTTCAGCACTTCTCGAAGTGAATAGGGTTACAGACAACATGTTGGCTATCGACATAAGCTCACTCGAAGCTCTTTAGCTCCTGGGGGCAACGAACGGCAGAATTCGCCGTGTACCTCTTCCTGGTCACGCTGTTCCCGGACACCCTGCTGCCGGCCTCGCTTTATGGCTTCGCGACAACGGGGTCCGCCATCATGTTCTCCGGCTGGGCAGGAAAGCTCGTGGACGACCACCACAACCTCCGGATCGTCCGCACCAGCATTGTGGCGGTCAAGCTCGCCGCGTGCGTCATGTACGCTGGCAGTCTCGTCCTCCTCTTCCACGGACAGAGCCTCGTCCAGTCGTGGAACACACCGCTCTCGTCTGGGATGTTCGCGCTCATCGTCATCGGCGGCTGCGTGCACAACCTTGCTGGCGTGACCATATCTGTGGCTGTCGAACGGGAGTGGGTGACCACCATCGCGGGTGGCTCGACGACGCATCTCACCACGCTGAACACGTACATGCGGCGGATCGATCTGTTGTGCAAGCTTCTGGCGCCGTTGTTCGTGTCCTTGCTGACCACTACTGCGTCGTACCGGTTTGCCGCGATATTCTTGTGCGGCGTTGATGTCGCCTGCATGTTATTTGAACTGATATGTGGGTCTTTCGCTGCGTAGAGGCATATTTTTACTCATTGGTTTGCACAGGGACTGAGATCTCGTATCGTCGCTTCCCCGCTCTCCACGAAGCACAGGCGGCAAAGGAAGCAGCTCGTCGCGCAGACGTCCGAGAGGAGCGTACACGGGAGCACAACCGACCCTCTCTACCAGTGCACGTCATGGCATGGACAGGGCTCGTCCGCAAAGCGAAAGACACACTCCGCGACTGGCACGAGTTCTCACACGAGCCTGTGTTCCTGTCCTCGCTCGCTATCTCGAGCCTCTACATGACCGTGCTCAGCTTCGACGGCACGATGCTGAGTTACCTGAAGGCCCACGCCTATAGCGACGCGTTCCTTGCGGGAATCCGTGGGCTGAATGTCGTCGCTGGCCTGATTGGAACGTTGGCTATGCCGTTCATGGAGAGAAGGCTGGGGCTGGTACGAGCGGGAAACTGGAGCATCTGGTGCGCATTCCGATGATTGTTCGGAACGAAGGACTTATGTTTCGCGCAAGGTCCGAGGTTCTGTGCCTCCTTCCGGTGCTCATTGCGTTCTTCGTGGGAGCGCCATCCGACGGTAGCCAAGGTCCAGCGTGGAACGCTACCTTGCTCTTTGGCGGTACGCTTCTTGACACACGTTCTTTCTCTCCTCTCACTAACTCGATTTCATCAGGGATGATGTTTTCTAGGATCGGCCTTTGGGCATTTGACCTATGCCAATTGAAGGAGCTGCAACTCGCGTTGGCGACACATCCTAGACGCAATTCCTTGTATGTATACTTGTCAGCTACGTACCCTGTAGATATAATCCTGACCGTACCCGACAGGACTGCGCTACAATACTCACTGCAAAACGTTGCCGATATGCTGAAGGTGCGTTTCTAAGATCGGGCATCAACTACATACTAACTTGAGTACATTCATAGTACATATTAACCATCGTCCTGAGCCATCCGTCGCAGTTCAAATATGCTGCACTTGCGTCCTTCATCAGTGTGTGCACAGGGGCTGTAACATATCTCGTATACGTCAAGAACCAGCGCGGGCACCTGCTGCACCACTCTCTTGAGGATATCATCCCACTGCTGAAGAGAAGACAACGATGAGGGGAGGTCCGGACGGTACTCTAGTGGTCCAATAGAACGGAAGCTAGAGGGTGTATTGGTGTATTTGTATGGGTTAGAGTCGATACCGATGCTCGACGGGTTGCGCGGCTAGTCGGGCGGGTTTATAGCTCAGTGGTAGAGCACACGATTGCAGATCGTGCGGTCCCGTGTTCGAACCACGGTGGGCCCTAGTACCGTTTTGCGAGGGAGTGATCTGCGGACGGTCATGTAATCGGGACTCCGGGCGTCTATTCGTGGTACCCTCTCCCTCTCCCGCCATGCGCCGTGCAGCCATCCGTGCCCTTCGTACCACTCCTCCCAAGCGGTCGTATTCGCGTGCTGCGTCGGGATCAAAAGCGCATGCACCTGTCGCAGATCCGCCAGTACGGACAACAACGCTCCCCAATGGTCTTCGTGTAGCGACCGAGTCTACCCCAGGTCACTTCTCCTCCGTCGGCCTTTATGTCGATGCGGGCTCACGATACGAGACCCCCGAGACGTCCGGCGTGAGCCATTTTTTGGATAGGATGGCGTTCAAGGTATGTGTGAATACTGCGGAAGACAAAGTTATGGCCAAGCTAATATCTGAGGTACAGACTACACGGTCGCGTTCAGAGGAGCAAATGGCTTCCGACATCGACGCCCTTGGTGGCCAGATCCTCTGCTCGTCTGCCCGCGAATCCATCATGTATCAGTCTTCTCATTTTCACCAAGGGACACCTCTCGCGTTATCCCTCATTGCCGACACCGTTCTGCAACCCGCATTCCTACCGGAGGAGCTGGAGGCACAGCAAGAGGCCGCGCGGTACGAGATCCGCGAGGTCACTTCAAAGCCTGAGATGATCCTTCCTGAGATTTTGCACCACGTCGCTTACGATGGCAAGTCGCTTGGAAACCCCTTACTGTGCCCAGAAGAGCGCATAGACCAGATTGACGGGGACGCGCTCAAAGACTTCATGAAGAAGTGGTATACGCCTGACCGCATGGTTATCGCCGGTGCCGGGATGCAGCACGAGGAACTCGTCGAGCTAGTCGACAAGCACTTCGCGTCTCTGAAAGGGTCCAAGACCGCTCCCTCGCGCGCCCAGCAGGTTCCTACAAACCTGCTTCACTCATCACAGCAGTCCTCGCCCTCATTATACAAGTCGCTCACTCGCTCCGCGTCTTCGTACCTCTCCCCGGACCTGCCATTAGGTCAACCCCCTCTGAACGCCGAGTCGACCTATAGCGGCGGCCACCGCTTCGTCCATGACTCTGAGACGGAGTTCAACCACGTCTACCTGGCATACGAGGGCGTCGGTATCCACGACGATGACGTCTACGCGGTTGCGACTATGCAGGTGCTCCTCGGCGGCGGAGGCAGTTTCTCGGCAGGTCAGCACCCCTCTCACATGCCCGCTCCCATTTCTTCCACAGACGCTCACGATTTCACAGGCGGACCCGGCAAGGGCATGTACTCGCGGTTATACACGCAGATCCTTAACCACTTCCCGCAAATCGACCACTGCGCGTCCTTCCACCACATCTACACCGACTCGGCCCTGTTCGGGCTCTTCGCGTCCGTGGTGCCGTCGAGTGGGCGCCAGGCGAACGCGCCCGCGCACATATTCCCGCACCTCGTGCACCAGCTCAGCCTTCTCCTATACTCCAACCTCCCCGTGGCGGAGCTGAGCCGCGCCAAGAACCAGCTCAAATCCAGCTTGATGATGGCGCTCGAGAGCCGTGCTGTCGAGGTTGAAGACCTCGGACGACAGGTGTGTTGATGTGGCTCGTCGACTCTCTTGCTTTGGCTTAGCATATTTGTAGGTTCTCGTGCACGGACGCAAGATCCCAGTGTCGGAGATGTGCGAGAAGATCGACGCCGTCGACGACGCCACGATCCGCCGGGTCGCTGCCCGCCTCTTCGGCCCCCGCACGTCTGCGCGCGCGACCGTCGTCGTCATGGGCAGGGAGGATGTCGGGGACTACCGCGGAGTGCTCCGCAAGTACGGCCTTGCTGACGCCTGATCGTCACGTTTCACTCACTGAGTTGCTGCATTCTGTACTACCTACATACATATGACCTCGCACGTTAATGCTACTCTAATGGACAACACATTGCTCTTCACATGCACACTTGGAGCTCTAAGGGAACGTCTATAAGTACTTGGTGCGCGCCGTTATGGCCTCGCGAGGGCGGCGGGGTGGATCGCGCTCCCGAACGCCTTCTTCGCCGACCGCGCGATCTTCCGCCTGAGCGTCGGTTTCTTGCGCGTCATCTGCATGATCGCCTCAAGCTTCGCCTCTCCGCCACGGCGGCGCGCCGACAGCGGCATTGCGCGCGGACACTCCGAGACCGGCTCGAAGGGGACGCGCTGTACGCACACATCGTCAGCACGAGCACTCCTCCGACCAAGCGCCACACGCACCTCGCCCGCATAGTAGCCATACGGCGGGTCCATCAAGCGGAACTCGACCCCCCTCTCCCTGCAGAACTCACACAACAACTGCACATCCTCCACCCCCTCATCGTCATCCTCGTCCACCCGCCGATGATACGTCAGCACCTCCAACCTCCCCTCCGAGCTCTCATAGTACGCCGCGAGGTCCGCCACGATCGCCGAGTACTCCGCCTCCCCGAGCGGGTGCAGCGCGAGGTGGCGCAAGCCCGCGGGCAGCGGGCGGAACGCCGGGCTCGGATAGCGCGGCGCGATCATCCACACCTCCTCCACATGCGCGAGCACGCCGAGCTCGTCGCCCGCCATCACCCTCGGCACCGCGAGCGTCCGCAGGCGCGCGAGCCCCAGCGCGGGCAGCGCGCCCGCGCTGAACGTCGGGCACTGCACGCGCAGCGCCTCGAGCGTCGCGCGCGCCCCTGCCCCGGGGCCGGACAGCGCCCACTCAACGAACGCGTGCGCGCCGCGGTGCACGTTCGCGTAGCGCAGCTCGCGCAGGCG